CTTCTTTTGAGAAATATACATAGATAGGCAATAATTAACTGCATTCAGTAGTCAAGTATATAAGTGTTATTAGAATTGGGATTGGAAATAACATGAACACAGCTTTGGTGGATTATCAGATCGTATTATTTGAAGTGTGTGATTAATTTAGCATAATTCACCAACTGCACTCTGTAACCGTCATATTGACTTCCTCATTCATGCTCTATCGATGATAAGAAACTGATTAATGTCTTTAGGTAAGAGTTTACAAACATATTCTGAAAATAAAACCATTTCAAAAGAAACTAATCACATTCCAGCTTCTTAAGCCTAACCCATAGACTGCTCCTTCACAGGCCCTTAATCCTCTTATCGTAGGTTATCAGCAAATTCAGCGAGAGAATTTCTAATATATGTAAACTAAAAGCTGCATTAACGTCAGTTAAAAAGATACCACATCAACATTAGCATATGTTAAAAAGACACTTTCTACAGCTCAGGAAAGCCACACTGTGAAAGTGTGTACACATGTAACACTATCCGCCTACATCAGCTGATAGTACGGTGTGATACATGGCGGACCAGACCAACACAGGTATATTCTGTACTGGCCCATGGTTAATTACGCTAGTCAAACATAATTACCTTCTTGCTACAGGTAAGGTCTAGCAAAGAAGTAAACAGGTTGGTGCAGGGGGGTCACTCCGGATGATCCTCGTCTAAACACTTGCATGACAGGCACTGAGAACCAACACGCTCTCAACTCTGACATTTACGCTGAGTTGGGGATAAACTCTATCACCTCGATCTTGCAGCCGATGCAACAATTACATGTTAATTTGTGGTCGTGTACGAGTTTAAATTAGATTACCTGTCTATTAGCACAACATTTGACAACTTTTTACCCATTTTTTGTAAGTAAATACTAGTGAGCAAATAAGTGTACTTTTCACAACAGTTTGATAAAAAAAAACCCAATGATTTCATTAAGAACAAATAAAAAAGTGCAACTGACCCTGAAGCAATACTTTGTTGACCAAACAAAGATTTCTGCATCTATTTTTCCACAAATGGAAGAAGATTTATGCCAAGTCCATTTTGGGGCAAGTGAAAAGGAAAATTAGGATACCCAATTGAGATGAACACAAGCAAGTACATAACTCAATGACCCAAAAAGGTATCTGTAGCTCTGCATCTACTACAACACAGCTGCAGAACTGCCACACCATCAATCAATATACAGTGTATTTGCTTTCATTCTTAATGAATCATAATGAGAGCCATTCCTGCTCCCGCCCACAATATGTGACAAATGGCTGATTCAGCAAACATTTTCATGTTTGAAAGCTATAACGATCAAGTTTTTACCCACAAACATATTAACAAAACCACAGCAACAAAAAACACGAACATGTAAAGATTATCATGATTATAGAGTAAAAACATTGTTAGGAAGGGGATATCAATATTGTCAGTTGGGTAATTGGAAAAGAGACTGATTATGTGAGTCGAATCAATTCTGCCTGAACCATGTAATCATAACTGAATACTGCCCCATACTTACACTGACCATGCCTATCAATATCCACTGACCAATGTTTGCTGGAACCAATTCTAATAATCCACATATCAAACTAACTCCAAGACAAACAAATTTCTAAAGGCCTAAATCTATACTGAGGCACTCAAGATAAGAACATCTTTTAGCCATACTTCAAAAGAATAGCATTCCAGCATGAAGCAAAAATGACAGTCAATACTGTCAGCGGTTCTGGTGATCCTGGAGCAGCAGCAGCAGCAGCAATAGATGGCCTCCTTGCCAGACACTGTGTTGACAGTCAATGGCAATGGATTTTCAATGTGGAGACAATAGAACTCTTGTGTGTCTACAGTTCTGTCCACACAGCATGGCAGAGATATTGTGTTCTCCATACATGACGGTCCGCAAAACACATAGCTGTGCACCTGAAACCCCTGGCAGTCAATGCCCATGTTGGATGAGGCGACCCAAAGGTAAACCACCGCAACCTAATGCTGGATATTGGTCCGTCTGGTAATTCAAGGCACACTTCAGGATTGGTGAACAAATTTATCCGTACACTTTGCCGCACCTTTGAGCAATCAGAAAGTTTTCGCAAAAATTTGGATGCAAAATAAATTGAACTGCATCTCCACAAATGCAAATTTGTTTCCCTGACAAGGATCCCTTACAAGATGAAGTTCCAACAGAGACGGCCAGAGATATCACATGACCTGTGTCACGTGATTGCCCTGGTGTATCGACCTGACACTCACACTCAGACAAGACTGCCAACTCAGGGGAACTCTTAAAAACCATTGAAATTAAAAAGACAGAATTGTTTTTGAATGTCTCTCTTATATTGAGTATTTCCATTAAAAGCATATAATTCCATGGCGAAATTCATTTGAACACCTCATATACCAAACATAGAAACTGTCCGCTCAGTCTTCACTGCAAAAAAACATAACCATCCCCCCCAAAAAGAAAATATTCATGATTCCCTATTTTATTCAGGATATTAAAAAATGGACAATAATAACAATCCCATATTACATAGTAAGTGTACATGTACATGTTTGTGATATCGATCTCACAAAATAATTCTTTTGAAATACATGAATGTATCCCAACCATTAAGTATGAAATTATGAACACAGTTGGTTTGGAAGGTGAAGCTGACACACTGCAACAAAACAATTAGTATTGCAACTTTTTTCGTAACATCTGGCAAATTGGACATGAAAATCAAATTATGTTGTTCAGTGTATTTAGACATGAGATAAACAATAATATCATTTGAATCTCGTTCAGTTTGTTCTGAGATTGAACTGAGCACAAACACAAATTTTTCAGATTTTAAGCTGACACTGCTTATGCATCCTCAGAGCGTTTCCAGACACTTTGATAAAACTTTTTCTCAACACAAGATATCTGCAGACAACAAGACTGCAACCAAGTCCTAACTCTTGAAATAAAGTGCTACCCGTACAGGTCATCAACCAACACTACATATTTGCAAGCAACCTCTACCCACATCAACATTAGAACCACAATAGCTCCTGAGAAGACTACTGTTCGCTGAAAACATTCCGTCTTCAACAAAAATTCAAACCACAACGCAGCACTAAACAGACAAGTTCTAAGCAGCATTGAACTACCTATTGAAGAAAATGGGTCAAACGGTGGAGCTTTAACAAGCAGTTTACCAATACAGGTCCTCTAATCACTACCCACACAACACTGTCAACCAAGCCTGACAAGAACCCACTCCCTGGCTGTCGGCCACTCCGCGGACTCAGTTAGTTGTTATATAAAGAGGGGAACACCTCACATAAGTATCTTACACAACACTTTATCATGTGTGACTGCACTCTGTTTTATTGTTTCTTGTATCCGTGAAACACTTGACTGCTTCTGACAAAACAGCTTACCATAACTAAACTACTCTTATGCATAAAGCGTGATAGAATGTTACAGCATAGAGTTCCTCTGTTCCCACTTTAGGACTCAACCCTAACATTTTTAGGAACAGTTTTATCAATTACATGTAAACATGGCATTATTCTATGCACTGAAGGTGCTAAATTTGAGGTAATAATTACATTCCAAGGACAATAAAAATTGGAAAAAAAATCATTTAAGTAACCTATAGTGTTTATGACCTATGGGACCTATCACTGTTAAGTTGACACACTCAGTATCCTATCTAGTATCCAGCTACACTTTTCATGATATTTAGAACAAGCTGCATATAAATGCTTTTAAAACAATCTGGAATTTAACTGAATTTAATGGGAAATGTGTGACAGTTAGGCAAGTCTTGATGTCAGACTGGCAGCTCCTGATGTCCAATGTTGAAGCATGTCTGTGACAGTTACATTCAAGCAAGTCTGTTGAGAAGGAGGGCTATTGATCTGGGACAGCAACCCTTCTGTAATTGATTAGCTTGAGGTATCGAGGAGGATCCATCAATATTTCATCCATTTAATGCAGTGATACGACAAAAGAGGCATATTCTAAGACACTTTCTTGTATAGCCAAGGCTTTAATACGTGCAATGTAATCAAGTAGGATATTTTATTGATATTAAAAGGTTAAATGTTTTGGTTCTGTGAATCAAAATTTGATGTGTTTCACGTTTGGGGTTTTCCCTCTAATGGTCAGTGGTGCCATTAGTTGCTGGACACCGTTGAGTGTCTTTATACCTTATATCATTATAAGCGTAACTGGTGACATTAAAGGCTGGTCACCTCAGTGTGACACAAGACAAGGGGGTCAGTGTTGATCCTAGGTTTTTGTTCTCCAGACATGATCAGATGACACTTCAGGTTTAGCCCAAACAGGTCTTGGTAAAACAGTTTAAAACCCTAGACTCTCTCACAATGCAGAAAATACATCTCCTTCCCGCTGTAGTGTACACAGTCGCTGTCACACAAAACTGCATCATAGGACGACATGTGTGATTTTTCATATCAAAATACTGAGAGAAATTCAATACCTGAACATGTGTTACTTCTATTGGCGTTATTGAATCTAATACGTTCATGCTCTGGTTCTCTGTCAACACTTGACTGGCCAATTACCTCTTTCACCTGTGCAAGACCACTTAATATGAAGGGGTACCCCCTGTGTTATAGAGGTATGTGCAGTGATGCGCTAACTTGCTATCACTGGTGGAATGCTGGCTAGAATCTACTGTGCCGTCAACCCGCTACGCTCTCGCCCCATCTAAGCTGTTTGCCAACTTGGCACTGCTCTCAGTTCAACCGACGAACATCAAGACAAAATGACTGAAATCATCACATGTGATCAATTGGACAATTCAGCAACAAATTTCAAATGTGTCATTTTGACCTCAGATGTGACATCATTCATGTCATTCAAATTATAGAAGGCGCGTAAATAAGACAACCGTGAACTTTCTGTCCGATTTGTCACCATTCCAACTCAAGAGTCCCACGATTGCTAAAACACAAACCGAAAAGAGACAACTTACCTCAGCAGTATATCCGTTCGCGTACTTCAATTTGCAATGATATTCCACGTGTTAGGTGCAACATGCACTATCCTTTCAGCCACACCTTCCAATTCAAGTCGTGTAGCGAGATCCGTATCACTGAGTAATGGCTGGTCGTCTCACCTGTCGCAGACGGCTACCTGTCAGTCGACACAGCGCACCTAGCGGCAAAAACGTAAACTATTTGCTGGGCGGTGCTGTGTGGGACATTCATACCTTGACCTGAGATAATGGGACAACGGAGAATGGCTTGCTTTGTGGCAGAGAAACCAAACTGTTTGCTAACCGCAAAAATTGTATTTGTTTATTTTAAGCATAGGAGAAAGTGCGACATTATTATATTTGAACATGTCGTTGCAACATCGCGGTTTTTCAGTTGTTTGTACTTTTATTGACATTTTTTCCAGGCTTGTAAGTGTATTCTAGATTATAACGGGACTTGATTTCATGTCTCTACTTTTATTTGCTTTACCGATAAAGAAATGTCATTTGGTGCATATTTAACTTCAAATTCGAATTTAATTGCGTCGTATTAGTTGTATGGCGATTTATCTGTTTAACTTAGTTTTGTGTAAATTTTTAACCAAAAATACCCACATTTATGAGCGGAACAATATCAATTATGTTTTTCTATCTGGTGCCTATACGTTTTCGAAAGAAATCATTTTAAGAAAACAAGGTTACTGATTAAAAAGGAAAAATACGAAGTTGCTTTCCTCCGCGTGGACCCGTGAAGATCGAGGTTATATTGGTCTTCAGTAACCATTTAACAATTGTCGTAAGAGGCAACTAACGGGATCGGGTGGTCGGGCTCGCGGACTTGGTTGACACGTGTCATCGTATCCCAGTTGCGTAGATCGATGCTCATGATGTTGATCACCGGATTGTCTGGTCCAGACTCGATTATTTACAGACCGCCACAATATAGCTGGAATATTGCTGAGCGCGGCGCAAAACTAAACTCACTCACTCACTCACTTTACAAAACGTGATGCAAATAGATACTTGTAGAGGCGGCCGTAATACACCCGTGAAGATCTGGGTTAGAATTGATCTTCAGTAACCCATGCTTGTCGTAAGAGGCGACTAACGGGATCGGGTGGTCAGCTTCGCTGACTTGGTTGACACATGTCACCGGTTCCCAGTTGCGCAGGTCGATGCTCATGCTGTTGATCACTGGAGTGTCTGGTCCAGACTCGATTATTTACAGACCGCCACCATATAGCTGGAATATTGCTGAGTGCGGCGTAAAACTAAACTCACTCACTCACTCACTTTACAAAACGTGATGCAAATAGATACTTGTAGAGGCGGCCGTAATACACCCGTGAAGATCTGGGTTAGAATTGATCTTCAGTAACCCATGCTTGTCGTAAGAGGCGACTAACGGGATCGGGTGGTCAGCTTCGCTGAGTTGGTTGACACATGTCACCGGTTCCCAGTTGCGCAGGTCGATGCTCATGCTGTTGATCACTGGAGTGTCTGGTCCAGACTCGATTATTTACAGACCGCCACCATATAGCTGGAATATTGCTGAGTGCGGCGTAAAACTAAACTCACTCACTCACTCACTTTACAAAACGTGATGCAAATAGATACTTGTAGAGGCGGCCGTAATACACCCGTGAAGATCTGGGTTAGAATTGATCTTCAGTAACCCATGCTTGTCGTAAGAGGCGACTAACGGGATCGGGTGGTCAGCTTCGCTGACTTGGTTGACACATGTCACCGGTTCCCAGTTGCGCAGGTCGATGCTCATGCTGTTGATCACTGGAGTGTCTGGTCCAGACTCGATTATTTACAGACCGCCACCATATAGTTGGAATATTGCCGAGTGCGGCGTTAAACAGCAAATCAACTAAACCAAGTCCTCCGCGTGTATTTTCCTGCATGGTTTTAATGGATTTCGATTTTCAGTAATTCGTTCATACCTCGCGCACGGTATAATTATGTTGATTACCCGAGGAGGGACAGCTCATACGTGCTGTAATTAATTGTTAATTAAGACACGAGACACCTGGATCTGCAAAATATCTGTTCAAAATCAATTTTAAGACATAAACCAAACAGACGGTTTCTTTTGACTGTTTTCCTTTTGCTTTGTTCATTGTTTCCTGGTCTGGGGTTTGAGCTGTCAGACTGAACGCAGTATTTTTAATATAAAAATTAAAATACAGCAACAAAAGCTGTCTGCTAGTAGTTACAATTACAGGTTGTCATAGGGGAGGGTGATGAGTATGACTCAATGCAGCCACATGGACCGTCTGAATATTATGTTTTTTGTTTTGTTATCTGTTGGGTAGCGCCGCACTCAGCAATTTTCCAGGTAAGTGACAGCAGTCTGTAAATAATCGAGTCTGGAGCAGACAATCCAGTGATCAACAGCATGTGCATCGATCTACGCAGTTGGGATACGATGGTATATGTCAACCAAGTCAGCGAGCCCGACCACCCGATCCCGTTAGTCGCCTCTTACGACAAGCATGGGTTACTGTACACAGGGGCTTGTCACACTTAGAAACAGAGTTAGAAAGACATAGGTATATAGACCCAAACTTAGTACTATATAAAAGGACCTTTTATATAGTACGAGGTTTGGGTCTATATACCTATATGTCTTTCTAACGCTGTTTCTAAGTGTGACAAGCCCCTGTGTTACTGAAGACCAATTCATATACACTTCCCATGAAAACGTAAACAATGGTAGATGTTTGGTTTGTCGATATTTAGTAAGTGTTGGGTGGAAGTAGAGCGAGGAAGGTAATGTGAAGTGGAGTTTATTGTGCATCTGCGTGCGTGTCTGTGTCATCTGTCATGACGCCGGGGATCGAACCTCCGACTTCCGCTCTCCAGCAAACGCTCAACCCACTATGCCAAGGAAGCGGTTAGAGCGGGAGGAGGGTGGTATGTGGGGTGGATCAGGGCAGTCCACGAGGATGCTTAAACGTTACTGAGCCCGGGAGGGTAAGTGGTTACATGTTTGCTCTCCACAGATGACCCTCAGTATATATGTTATGTACATATGCATTATCGCCACACCCATGTCTTCAACACAGCATGGGTGCACAGGCTATCATACACTCAAGAAGTGGGTTATCTGCAGCTTGACTCCATATAGGTCAAGTCGGCATAAGCGCAGTTTTCTATATGCAGTATATACTTGGTTTAAACGAAACCAAAGGAGGTTGTAAACGTGAGTTCATTTTGCCTTCAGTTTAGTTTAAACCTGTGAAGATTTAATAGGATACATTAGAAGTAGCCTTCCTCCGTTAAAGATCCGGGTTAGAATTGGTCTTCAGCAACCCATGCTTGTCGTAAGAGGCAACTAACGAGATCGGGTGGTCAGGCTCGCTGACCTGGTTGACACATGTCATCGTATCCCATTTGCGTAGATCGATTCTCACGATGTTGATCACTGGATTGTCTGGTCAAGACTTTTTTTTTAATTTTTATTTTTTTTTGAATCTCAACCATCCAGGTCCAGACTTGATTATTTAAAGACCGTCGCCATACAGCTGGAATATTGCTGTGTGTGGCATAAAACTAAACTCACTCACCCACCCTTTAGGTTAAGATCTGGACGTTGTATTTTTGCTTGTACCAAACGTTACCGACTGCTGTACGGAGACGCGCACCGAACTACAACCTGTGCAGCAAACTGGTGAGTCCATCGGACAATGATAAGAAGAAAATACATTTCAAATTTAAAACACACGAATAAAAAAAATAAGAGTATTTATTAAATATACAGCAACAAGAGCATGCAGTACAGAGGCAGCTAAGATGGTTTACACGATAGAACAGGACATGACATTAATGCAATATTTTTATTATTTCATATTATAGGATATTTATATAGCGCACATATCCACGCACTAGTGCATGCTCAAGGCGCTGGTATTTTATAGCAATGATTAAATTATAGCAATGATTATAAGAATATATCAAACTGATGACGTTGTGACGGAATTCATAATGTTTAATATTATACGTACGTTTCAACATAATCACCAATTCTATTTACACGATATTCGATGAACCACTATTTTGAATGTGTATTTCAACAATTTGAGAATTTCAGGGAAAAATTTGTTTTTGGAGTTTTTGCGAGATAGTTAATTAGTATGTGTGTATGCATAGGTTATCTGGTGATCCTAGTGGTTAAAAGTCATACCTGGGTTCGATTCTCCAGTTGCGTCTGATGTGTGAGGCCCACTTCGTGTGTTCCCCGATTAGTATTGCTGGAATAATGCTAAAAGCGGGCTAAAACCCGATCACTCTCTCTGTACAACTGGGCTTGGCTACGCTTAACACAGTTCGTGTGTGATCATAATTCAGCTGTTATGTCATGAAAAAATATCTATACAATACGTCATGTTACATGAAGTACAACCGTAAAGATTTAATCACTTAGTTGTTACATGTACCTGCTTGTACGATTTGATAAGTTAAAGGTGTCCGGCCGCATTTGATTGTTCTAACCTGCCATAAACTATACTAGGACAATAAAAAGTACATTAACACTGAATCCCCCCTACCTACAAACGCCCCCAAACAAAAGAAACACGCACAAAAAAAAAAACACCCCCAAAACAACCTACCCCAAAACAAAGCAAAAACAAAAACAAAACAAACAAAAAACAAAACAAAAAACAAAACAAAAAAACAAAACAAAAAAAAAACAAACAAAACAAAACAAAAAAAAAACAAACCCCCAAAACAAACAAAAATAAAACCACAACACAAAAACCCCAAAAGATTAAACAAAATTAAAACAAAAAAACAAAACAAAACACACTAACCAAAACAACAAATACAAAAGAAAAAACAAAACTAAACGCACACACCCAAAACATATAGTATGGAAAAAACACCCCAAAAAACCACCCACCAACAAAGCGGTTCATATGGAGCTTTTTTTATACCAACAAAGAAGGAAAACAATCCTTCTTACTTGCTTTAAGCCACGGTTTTACCATGTATTGACAGTCCATTATCAGGTGGTGAGGGCCTGTGGCCATCCATGCCCTATGATTCAGCGTGATTGCGCTGTATCATCTTTGTTATTTATTATAATTAATTACAAAGATTGAATCATAAGTGTCAATAATTATATATACCTTGAACAATA